TACAGGAAAATACCATCCTCCGCATCTGCAGCGGTTGCAGCCAACAACATCCCTTCGTATCGAGGCAATTTAAATGTACTGTCAAGAAAAATTAGAGGTCGACAGCCTTGTAAAAAACCAGATATCGAGGCATGAAATGAGACAAAGAGTCGATGGAAGCTCGAGTCATCCTTGGTAACAAAGGAGACAATACTGCCCGGGTTAGTGTCTTTTATCTTCTCACAGAAATAAGGTAAGAGACTATATGCCTCTTTAAAGGATCCTCGAAGCTGTTCCTTGGCAATCTCTATTGCACGCCATGCCTGAGAATAATTCAGTTGGATTCCGTATTCTCTTTTGATGTCATTGGCAATGTTTTTTGGCTTCCAGTTGGGAGAAGCTTTCAATTTCTCCTTTATAATACTTCCCACCCAACCCCTTGTTGCCCGGTGCCCAGCTTTTACAGCAGCTCCTTCACATGTATGTGTCGTGTTCATTTTCTTGATGCAAATCAACTGGGTAGTGGACAGTCTTGATGCAAATATCCTCCAGGGGCAGCCTTGGGCTTTGCATTTAACAGTAACACGATGGTGGTTGTTTTTCTTATACCTATAAGCAAAACCATGTGCAACTGAATATTTATGCACAGCTTCTCGGAATTCATTAAAACTATTAAATCTTTGGTCAACACCAGTGATCGTATTCTCCCAAACTTCAGCAGCTTTAAGATGCTTCTCATCATTTATATTAATGGGCATACAGTCCAAAGGGGTTTCATTCGGCATGACCAAGTCAAGTTGGTCGATGCCATTGATCATCCCAACATCAACATTGGCAGGTGCACCAATAGGAGCCCCAACTTCTGAAATAGTCGTCCCACTCGACCTGCACATTTAAGAACACATAACCACGACAGCAAGGGCCAAACATAGATGGTAAATTCAGAAACACGAAGGGTAACTACCTACTAGCCGGCATGTTTGAAACATTACGAGCAGCCGCTTCCTCCGGCACAATGAAGACATCAACGGTCGAAGACTCACAAATGAAGTTAAGCATGCGCAAAAAATCCTTGTCTTTGGAGATAGTAATGAGGGTCTTCTTGTTCCCAGGGAGGAAGTACTTGATAGACATGTTACCAGATCTCAAATTAAACATGTCTGCTATCTCAGACTTGAAATCACTTAACTTGGATTGCTCATTGATATCTATGGCATAGGCATCGCCACCATTGTAGGACAAAGAACCATCTTTATTGGTGATAAAATCGCCACCAGACTGACATATTGCTATAATTTTCTTTCCTGCCATGGCCTAACCAGGAGAAAACCAAATCAACCACAACAAAAGCTACATTAACTAAACAAATATAAAGAAAATATGGTAATTTTATTTTTCCCAACACAAAATAAAAAAAAAACCAAAAACTAAAGCAGTAACCTGTGGAAGCTGAACAACTTACAAAAACCCAGAATCGAAAACAAAGAAGAAATCAAAAGAGAAGGGTGAAAAACATAAACGAATAGGCAGAAACCCTAAAATCTGAGTTTGAATTGAAAAAGAGAGAAAAAAGAAGATACCTTAAATGGAGAAACGTCAGACAGGTGGGATTTTTAGTTTTGCATTTGTTATTGGGAGGTTAAATCCTTGAATTTGAAGAGATACCCAGGGACCCAAAGCCTAGACCCGAACCCCAAATAGCCTCAAAAACTCGAATTATGGAGTGAATGAATATTGAATTCAATACAATCCGCAGCGTATGCTAATGGCCTAATGCTATGCTCACTTCCAATTGCAACCCTTTGATTTGATTTGATTTGATTTTATTTTATTTATAGATGTTTGACTGTCCTCTGGTTTGGTATCTGATTTCTTTATGATGATTTAGATGGATTATGACGAGAGTTGTCGATTGGGTAGGTGGAGTTGGTTTTGTGTTGGGTTGATTGATTGATTTTAGATCATTCTTTTATTTTATTTTTAGTTACTTTGCATTTACATCAATTTTACTTTGGGATTTTTGGTTTGGATCAATTTTGGATTCAAATTAGACGGATTTGAATTTCGTAATATTGATGTTCAATCAAGTAAGATTAAATTTAAATTTTTTGAGTTTGATTGAGAATTGATAAATTTAATTATGAAATTAATGTTACATATGGTTATGAGTAAAGATGTTTATGAATCGAATCGAATAAGAGCAACACTTTTATCGACATTATACAAGGAATGTTTACAAGGATGAATATCTTATTTAAATTTGATAAGATCCGAACTAATATTATAAGATCAGTTGAATTTTTTTCTCGAGAATGAGGTCAATCTGATAGAATTTAGATTTAAGATGAAAAATATTCAATCCGACTCGATTTAAAAATAATAATATAATTAATCATCATATGTTTAGAAATAATTACTATAATACCTATATATATATATTTTCAATCTGGTTTCCAATATATATATATATTATATATATATATATATATATATATATATATATATATATATATATATATATATATATATTTGTATCAGTTTAAATCGGATATAAATTTTAATATTTTATCTTTGAGTCAGATTTCAAATCAGATAGAATTCTCTTAACTCGAATTATATCAAATGACAAGGGAAAGGTATTGTATTTGGATTGAATTTGAGTAGGCCAAAAACTCAATCCGATTTGACATAGAATCATTCCTAGACATTCACTTAACGAAAAGTAAGATTATTTATGTTGATAATATTTTCATATGTAAAATCTTACATTGTTACGTTTAGTCGTCAAAGCTTTAGCAACGGGTTTCAGTTGCTAGGCGAATCATTCTCCGCTCCACTAACTATTTCCCACAAACTCTGCTGTATTAGGGTTGACGGAAGCCGGAAGATGCTTAAAACATACTACGTAAGAAAACCAGTCATGGATCCGACTATATAAATCGGGTGTTTCTGTCGATCCACCATAAACTCCAAAGTTGCATGGTCACGTGCTTTCAATCATAAAACATGTAGAGTTCAGGTTGTTTCTCTTAGTACATTAAAGCACCTTATATCGTTTAATAAAGAAACCCACAAAACTGTGTCATTGACTTTCATGGCGACCAGCAAGAAGAGCATTGGCTGCAGCATCCAAGTCTTGAGGGAAGAAAACCCTGCATAGCCCGGAAAGTCTTTCGATAAGTATAAAGATGGAAAAGAAAACAAAAGCTCATTTGATCTCTAGGTAACACATTATCTAGTGCTTGAATTGCCGTTAAATTTGAGAAATTCCTACGATTGCAAACACAAGTACCTGCAGGTGTTCTGATACAATGTAGCACTCAACTGGTCGATGTCATTGATTCCTTTACAGCCCCCTACCACCTCAAGAACTTGCCTAGAACGATTACCACCGGAGAAAGGAAGACGAAAAATATTATGAATAGAAATGAGCCGGAATAATATTCAGATGCTATAACACTCGTATTAGCTTCAAATATACTATGGAAGAAGATTTCTATTTTAAAACACTCTCCAGAGGTACAAAAGAAAAAGGAATAAAGTTATGATACTGCACCAGAAAAGCACTCACCGAACTGAACAAGGTTCATTACGTCCTTTAACCAGACTTTCTTGGTCATACTTTTCTTTCTTCTTAGAAGGCCATAAGGATTTAACGAACTTGATCCCTGAATGAGTACTCTTGATTTCACAATATGGAGAATCGGTCTCGATCATCATTCTCTCAATGGGTATGTCCCTCACAACATCAAGATTTTCAGCCATCTTCAGAGAGCATCCATTTATACCTGTAAAATAACCGAAGTTGAAAGACTCGTTAGGTATTTCCAGGAACCTCCATATCCATAATGATGAATAGCTTCAGATATGAACATAGGGTAGCCAACAGATGTCATGTCACTGCATGCATAGAAACAAAACATGTTTGGTGAAGATGCCATGTCTATGTTGTATTCTCACCTATATACATGTTATGAAATGAGAGAAGCTTATCACGGTCTTCACCAGTTCCGGTAAACGAATGAGTAACCCCACCGGAGAACCTTTTAAAGTGAAAAGAAGACGGCAGACCTCAGTTTTTACGCATTAACTGTGAATCAATTAACTAAAATTCTTTTTTCATAAATGCTAGTGTAAGAAAGATCCAGAAATCTAACTTCTTAATATTTCGTTCCACTATTTCACAGAAATCTCCTGCAGCTGCACGCATATGCAGAAACATAGGCAGCTTTGTGGCATAAGCTAACTCAAACTGCTTCTCGAAATATCTAATATAATCATCAAAGACGACAAAATCAAACCGATATATAACAAGAAACAATGGAACACAACCCTAACAAATATTTCTCTTGGCAACCACTTACTTCTTTTGAATTTCCGGGGAGCAAAAGTGAAGCCTGTCATAATCCAATCCACATTCACCAATCGCAACCACCTAGGTTAAGGCAAAATTCACGGTATCTAACTATAGTAAGACTAAGATTACAATCCTGATAAAAAAAAAGTAAATATACAATAGGTTACTAGATTTTTTTGGATCTATATAAACCGATATCACAAACTCACCTTCCCTTTTTGAATTCCCTCCTTAGCCAACGCTAAAAGAGCTTGGAAATGCTTTTCAGGATCCCCACTCTCTTCAAACTCCTAAATAAAACATAAGAGACCAAGTTGAAGAAAAACGTTAACAACTCGTACTCGATATTCGGAAAACAAAAGGGTCAAACACAACAAATTTCCTGAAATAAACTAACCTTACATCTAGTCGGGTGCACGCCAACTGTGCAGAAAAGCCTCCCTGTGATGAATAACAAACTTCAGACGATAACCAAAAGAAAACATTCTAAAACAAAAGAAATGTGGCAACAGATAAAGCAGGATGATGGACCATCAGTTTCTGCAATAGCAAGAGCTTCCTTCGACTCCTCAAGGGAACCACCCGTAACCTGTAGCAACAAACCCATTACCATGAATTATGCATGTCTAGCAATATAAAAAATTAAAACTCATTATGCTGTTATATATGCAGAAATGGAAAACTGGACTCCAACTTATACAAGTCCACGAGTTCACTAGAAAACTAAAGCGTCCAATAAAACCGAACAATTATAATAAGTAAGTAACTAAACAGATTACAATGCAAAGATAGTATGAGAGATATGGTAACTGACGATAATTCGATCGACGCCAGCATTCCAAGCTCGACTCAAAACAGTAGCTATATCAGAAACGTGATGTTGCTTGCCATTGTAAATGCCTTTAAACATTCCATCTATGAACCAAGCGGAGAATAACTAACCCAGATTGTCAAATAAAGTAAAAAAGATGAATTGAAGCCAAAGATAGGAATCGAGCATAACCTATTCGATGAAATGCGTGAAAGAGTTACCTGTGAAGTTGACGGCAATATCTGTGTTTTGAAGGAGACAACGAAATTGAAATGAAGAGATTGTTTAAGAAATGAGAAGATAGAGAAAAGAATGGAGTTATCTTTATGAGGAATCGGATAGATTTACTTGCCTATCATCCGTATGGGCGCCATGGTAGATACTTTGGAAGAACTTGCTTTGCTTCTCCAATCCAAATCTTTGCTTTGGTATTGTTCGGAGGCCACCAACAGTTCAATAAATGAAAGGGATGAAGTAATCTTAGTCCCCGTATTTGACTATTTATCAATTTAATCCCTTTTTTTCCAGCTTCAACTCCTGAATTTGATTTTTTTTTATATATTCAAGAATTTAAATTCGAAGACCAATTGCACCTGAAATGGTTAACTTATTCTTAAATCCCTCATAAAATTATAGAATTGTAAGTTAATAAATGGTAAAATTTTATTTTTGATCCCTTTTAAATGACAAAAATTATGATTTAATCACTTTTTAAGTGACAAAGTTAGAAACTAATATAATAAAAAATATTATCAAAATTTATAATTCAATTTTAACTTTAGAGAGGTCAGCTTTTGACAACTAATATAGTTGGAGTTTAAAAGTATGAAAAACGAATTAAATCAAACTAAAATCTTAAACCATAACAGATGTAGTAATTTTTTTTTGTCTAAATTTATTTTTTGGTCATAATATTTTTATTTAAAAACTCTCAAAAATCCGAAACATTGGAATAATCAAAGTGTGCGTCTTCAATTTCCAATAACTTTGTAATTAGAACTCCTTCATGGAAATATTTGTATGCTTAGACACGTTTGAACCATGACCTTCTAAATATTATAACAACATACTTGATATTCCAACTTGAACAAAAACAGAAAATTAAAGAAAAATAATAAACAGACTGAGACTGCATTGATTTTGCTACTCATGAAGTTCGCACTAAAATCCCCTCTCAACAATGGAATAAAAGAAGGAAGTGCAATGAAAGAATAGAGGGGATAAAGCTACGTAGCAGACTGAAGTTAAGCAGTAAGAGATTGACGGTCGGGGTCGGAAACTCGGGACCGGAATCGGTTAATGAAGGCAGAGGCTTTGCGGTCAATGCCCGGTTCGGCGATCCAACGCCGTCCGTCTTCATCACTTGGACACACCCTTCTCACGTAAAACCCCTCCTCGCTCATGTCATCGCCTCCGTTTGAGCAACACGACGTGAACAAGCTGAGTATGGAGAAGGAAGACTTGCCATGCTTGGTGTAACCCATCACTGTCTCAGGCTAAGGCTAAGCTGTGGTAGTATAAGCACACTGAATATGTTATACCTGGAAAGGGGAGGTAGCTAGCATGTATATATATAATAATGGAGGGGGAGAAACCACTAGGATTAAGCAATCATTTAATTAATTAACATGTATATATAATGGGTGTAAGCAAAGCAAGCATATATGCTATGCAGTCTGTTTCTCTCAAGTACTCCCTATTACAGCTATAAATATAATATCGGAGGATGTAAAAGTTGATAAAATTTCGATGAATCTCGAAACGTACGTCATCGGTTAAACATTACATTTATTCACTGACAGTGTATGGAATATTAAATATTATAGGAAACAGGGAAGAAATGTTGCCAGATGATTAACAACTTTTTATTAACATAAAGCCAGTGCATATAAACTTGTTAAACTTTTTGTCTGATGATAATTTTAGTCCTTGTTAATTTAAATTTTTGCTGATTAAATACTTAATAAATCCTCTACTGTCTAATCATGATTACATCTCTGCTTAGATGCAGGGAACTCTTTATAAAAGAATTAGGCATAAAACTTTAGCTTCTTCACATATATTCTTGGTGATAAGGTGCAGGTCTCGTACTTTGTACTTGAGGATATTTTGGAAAAGAAAAGGTTGGAGGAGTAATTTTTTAATAACAACAATAAAAAGATGGAATAATTACAAAATCCCAGAAAAGCAAAGCTTCTCAAAGATGGTTTTCTCAGAAAAAGAAAAAGATACTCGAGTGCTTTTGGGTTGGCATGGGATGTAATTGTTACAATATATCTCTATAGAGGTCGGATTTTACAACACATATTTTAACCTTGTGTCATAGAATCTCACTAACACAAATTGCAGACCTTTAATATTTAGTTAATCCAATCGATTATATATACTTGAATAAATACTTGAACTTGCATCTATTTTCTTCTCTCTGGATCCTTCTTTATTTGACAGATACTTGTGTAATAATTCATTTTTTTTCTTATGCTAGTACTTGTGTATCCGATACGACAAAAATAACATAATCATGATCAAAATATATGAATTTTCCAATGTATACAAAGAATCACCCCCAAAACTAGAAGCCAATGCCATTCCAGACAACTCAGTGTCCATGACAAAGAAAAGACGCAACAAATAATCCATTCCCTCCATGGTGTAAAAGGAAATGACCATTTTGCACCTCAAAAACAGGTGGATATTTGGCAAAATGAAAAGCGATACGAAAATGAAGAACAAATAAAACAGAAGAATACGGTTTCAAGTCGAATTTGGTTTTGCCTGATAAACAAAGATGAGGCCTCGGCAAAGCAGCCCCTCCCATATTCAAACTATAATACAGGTACCATATTCAACTCGAGTGGCTTCAATGCTCCCTGAACAATCTCTTGAACTGTTCGATTACGACGACAAACGTCGGATAACTCTTCAACTGAGAGTATCACAGTATTCACATCAGCCCCGGAGGCTGCTTCCGACAATGCTTGCAAAAATCCCGAGCGCTCCACTTCCTTGACGGCAGTCAATGGGATCAATGACAGGCTTTCCCTAGCCCATTCCAGTGCTTGCATACCGTAAGCCCGAGTTAATGCTAGAAGTGCATATCTACCTGAAGCAGCCAAAAGGACTCCATGAAATTGATCATGAAATATAATTTAAGGCAATGACAGCAGCATAAAAGCTGAAGAAAGAAACAAAGCAGTAGAAGCTACCGTTTCTAATCGAGAATTTGGCAGTGCTCCCGTTAGGGCAGCCACCAAAATTCTAGTAATGGTAGCACCTCGTGGAATAATGAGACTATCCCTGATAGATAAATATTGTTCTCCCTTGTTAGAGTTTGCTAGATCAAAGATATCAGACAAGCAGGTCAAAACGGAATTAGAGGCCTCCCTGCAAATAAAATATGGGGGAGAATAAATTTCGAAATGATAAATGTATCGAAAAGTAACGGACTGTGTCCTATTCCCCTATAGGAAGGATGAATTGCTTGTGTTTGTACGCGCGTGCACAACCACAGATGTAAACATGCATAAACCAACAAGCAAGCTCATAATGTTAAAAAATACAGGCAGTGAGAAAGAGAATATACCTGTGCTGTACTGTGATCCCGATCATCGCACAATCTATTAAAGCTGGAAATACCGCAGAAGGAATAAATAGTTGAGGACAATAACGAATGCATCTTGATGCCAGTAGAAAACAATCATCTGCTATGTCTGGTCTTGTACTGAATTCCTGGAGCAAAACAATAAGTAAAAGTTTACATATCGACAAATTTAAAAGTCGTAAAAATAATGAGCCAATCAAACCATACCTTAATACTTGTGAAAAGAGATGTCGTGCGCTTGAAGAGCACTTCAATCATATTTTTTAGGTAACTTGCACAAGAAGGATCAGAGCCAAATATCACTAACAAGACAATGTTTGAGGACTACTACATTCCATTATTAAACAAACTAATTAAGAAAAATTATATTCTGAGAGTAATATAATTCAAAAAATCCGACATTTAACAAAAATTCTTTCGGATAATATTATCATTGCAATCAATAAATGCAATTCTAGCAGCCAGATTTTTATATATGTGCAGTAGAATGTTTGATTGACAATCAAATTTCTAAACCATTTCTGGAAATCCTTTGTTCAGAAAAATGCTTTCCTGAAGATATAATTCATTTTACGGAAAACATTTTCCGAAAAATGTTTTCAGTGAAACAAACAAACTATTAGTCATCAAATTAAATTCTTTTAGCAAAAGTATCTCTAACATTGTTTTTTTTTTGCTATTTTAGTCATTGATCATTTAAAGTTTAACAATGACTTTAACATGACCCCAACCTGGCTTTTTTAATTTTTAAAATTTATTTTTTTCTCTTCTCTTAAACGGAAGAAGAGTCAAGAATGACTACAATGGAATAAGAGAAATATCATCAAGAATAACTCCAAGGGAATAAGAAATAAAAAAATAGAGAAACATCATCAAAAAATCTTTAAACCCAAATCTTTTAATAAGAAAAATATCATAAAGAATAACTACAACGGAATAAGAGAAATATCATCAATTATACAAATTGATCAAAGGACCATGGATTTCACTACATTTTAGTTCCTTTCTTTTAACAAATTCAATTCTCTCTAGGCCTAATAATGAAGGAACTAAAAAAAAAAGGCTACAGCTTCAACTTCAATATATGGCAATCTCCTCGTACCTGATAATCTGACATGCAATTGAAAACCGATATTCTCGCTTTGCTTAAACAGGAAGAACCAGAATGGACTTACAATGTTGATAAGCTTGGCTTACAGTTTAGAGAGGTTCAAGTCACAAGGAGAGTTCAATTGGCTACAGATTCTAGCTCTAAGGGCTTGGTTGTCGAGCCTCTCTGAAGACCGAAGTGCCACCAGATGCTGCAGGGGAAGGAGATGATGCGACAAAATTTGTTCCTGATACAGATACAGATACAGTGGGAGGATCACCAGGATGACCTTGATTTCCAGTAGGGGCAAAGCGTGATGGACTGCCAGTGACCCCCATGCTTGTTCGAGAAGGGTGGGGAATCTATACATATGAGCAATAACTGACTATTGTCAGCATACGCAACAGAGTCATATATGCCACCATCCTAACTTCACAAAAACCCAACTTCGCATAGCAGATACTGCTTACTAATCAATCTTAAGTTTAAAAAACAATATGATGTACCTAGACAGAACATCATTTGATTTCATTCACCTCAATGATGATCAACCAATCAACAAACAACATAGTATCAGAGAATGTTAACTCTAAACAATGTGATCCTTAGTAATAGATCATGTTTTATATCTAAAGTATAACAGAACATCTTGCAGTTGATGCTGATTATTACAAAGTCTCACACCTACATCATGTGTTTATTTCCTAGAAACACAAAACGGAAAAGAGTATCATAGTATGAGCCATTTTCTTAATTTGAATATGCAAGAGACAAGGCTCTAAGCTACGAAAGGAGGCTTATTATCTACCGACGTCCAGATGAGGGTGATTAATCTTAAATTCCCATACAAAGCAAGTGTAAAGCATTTGAGAAACAGCAAATCATCAGAGGAAAAAAGCTTGTGGTGATTCATAAGATATGCAATTGTCAATTTCCTAAATCTAAATGAGGAGAAGTAGGATTCAAGGAAAATTAAGGTTCAGAACATGACCAAAATGCACATTATCCTACTGTTGAAAGATAAAATCTATGGATGTTCATGTATTGATATGTTATTAGAAAAGCAAAAAAGGAGATCAAATTTAGTATATTACATTACCGCATTATGTTGAATGTAGGTAGGCCTTCTAAGAGGAGATTCTGAAGATGGTGATGTACTGCTCATCTGAAACACATGACGAGAATGAACATTGACGTTTGAAACATCATCAGCTTCAAGTCCTTCATTTTATCCAGCAACATTAGCGTCTGAGCCCATCCGGTGAGTGACAATCCTCGTCATCGACACAGAGTCAGTTGTGGTTTCCACTTGAAGTGAAACAGCCGGATGATTCGGTGTACCTTGCGTGCTATTTCTTCTCTTCAACTCCTCCTCCGCATTCAAGATCTATCAAATACTAGCAATTAAGTTCAGGAGTTCAATTCTCAAAACACTTGTCTTCTATACGAAAAGGCATTAGAAATAGAATTGATGTTTACCTGCTTTAGTACTTGCACTAAACCATGCTTTTTTGCATTCAAAACTCGTAATCTCTCCTCAACATCCCCTTTCCTTTGTTCTTTTGCATTTAAATCATTTATTTTTTTTCAACAGTCTGGCAATCCGCAAAAAAATCAAAAAAAATTCAGCAAACAAGACTAATAAATTTAGCACTTTCAAATAAACTAATATTCAAGCTCAAAATTTATGCTGAAGAATTAAAAAAAAATCGAGCTGACAAAAATACCTCTACGTTTGTTTTAGTATCAGGCGACTTCTCTTTCTCATCCACTTGCAAACTGACATCTTTCTCGGACTTCTCATCCACTGGCTTCACCAAACAATCTCCACCGTCGGATCCTGCAACTACCTCCACCTTGACCTCCGTTAGAGGCAGTGCAGTTTTTAAACCTTCGGACGTGTCAGGCTCCACTTTGGCTTTCAACTTGGGGTCAACAGGAGGAGCAGTGGGCACGGAAGATTGAATTTGATGGTTTGGGTTAGAAGAGGAAGAAGGGGAACAAAGGAGACAGAGAGCTTTGTTGCGCCGGTGCAAGAGGGATTTGAAGTCTTTGAGGGAGATTTTGGGAGTCGGCATTAGCCATCGCCGGGGAACGTCCGGTGCTCGGTGGAGGTTCCCTCTGTACAAAGAAATCGCCACCATTTTTATAATTTTTTTCTCCGTTAATTTTCGCACTTTCCTGATTTCTGTGGCGAAAACAAAAATGAAATTTTACAGTATGGCTCTTTACCCTGGCTTCTCGGTTATAACTGTGACTAAAAGTAATTAAAGATAATACTGTGATTAAAGTTTACAAATATCCACTAAATTATTCCAAAGTCGTCTTTTTTAAGTTTTAAACTTTAAAAAAAAATTATTATAAAATAGTTATAAAACTGTTAGGTGTCGGTATATGGACTGGATAGACACATTTGATAGGTTGAGACTCGACTTGATTTTATAAGATCGATTTAAAAGATTAATTTCGGATTAGGTAGAGTCAATTTTTTTAGATGATAAGGTCGGATCGAGTTAAATATGAAAAATCTCCAACTCATCTCAAGATAATAGTGTATTTATTTTTATATATTTAACGATAATTATAATAATATATCGCTATATATTTTTTCAATTAGATCCTTTTATATATATATAAAGTCGGATAAGGATTTTTATCTAAAATTTGAATCACGTTCTGAATCGAGTGAAATTTCTTTAAGTTCGGATGGAATCATGTAGAATAATCTGAGTATACAAAAAGTTTAGCTTGACCTGGCCTATATACTCGTATCTTTTATTGATTAAATTAGGTGGATAAACACTTCTTCAACCATAATTTTGAAGTCAAAAGCAAAGTGTTTAACATTACTTATGGGATAAATAAACGTTTTTAGGAACATTGCCAAACATACCTAAGCCTTTGACTTTAAAAACAAATTTTTACCACTCAATTAATGTTCATTTTTTAGGAAGCCTGGGCATAGTAATGAGGACAAGGGGGGGGGGGGAAACCCATCAAAGTAACACCGAATAAGCCTGAAGAATCATGTCATTATTATAATATACAAAGACTGCTGCACATAATCAATTGCTAGGAACCCTAGACATAGTAATGAGGACAAAGAAAAGTGTACAAGACTTCAATTTCAAGATTTTGAAAAAGAAAAACCAAATCAATCATGCTTCTCTGCAAAAAGAGACTTATCAGCATAGCTAATGCAGGGCCCTCAAAACTCTCTGAATAAACAGCTTTACCATATACCATATGGTAGTTTCCCAGTTTTGTTCTCGCCATGTTTCTTTCTGCAGAAAACTTCAAGTTGTTGCGTTCGTATGATTCAAGGGCCAGTACATTTTACAGCAAGCTTTGGTTTCGCACTCAGAGTGTTTGAAGATTACTTCCCATGTTTCTTCCCTGCAATGCATGCAAATTATTAGTATAAACATAGTTAAACAGACAATGTTGCTTCTGACTCTTCGGGTTTTTTTCCAAAGTATTCATGGTATTGATACATGAGTTTAGGGATATAATCCTCCAAGTACTCTCCAATACATACAAATATTGAAAATTTTGAATACAGCTACATTCGATACTCATACTGTCATACATGAGTATAATCTTGTTCGACGGCGTCGAATTAAGAACATACAGCTTTCATCATTAATCAAGTTTCTATTTACAGCTTTCATCATTAATCAAGTTTCTATCTTGATGGTTGCTTTAAATGGGGTATTGAAGACAACATAAAGTGGTTGAGAATAAGTTATATAACACAAACACAGCAGCCACCATAAAAGTAAATAGTTGTCTCACACTTCCATCATTTAATAGACCTAAATCAATGGCATATTAATCTCAACCAATTCATAAAGGCAACAATCAACAATGGCAACCGGGTAACTTAAAGGCAGGCATTAAACTAAAGTGGATGGCAACAGAAATCATTTATGTTTAGGATGAACAGCGGTTGGTAGAAAAGTCAATTCAGTTTTTATTTGTGCTACCTCTTTGGAACCATGACTTTCGTATTGCTTGGCGTATCTGTCGTTCGTTCCGTTCCAACAGTTCATCGACTCTATTCGATTGAGATAGTAAGGGACCCGAGAATTCGATCTTCTCCCTTTCATCTTCGTAATCCTGTCAAGAACAACAATATAACATGATTTGATCAAACTACAGATATTCTAAAGAAACTGATGTGATGATATCTTCTGATTTGAGTTTAGGGGCATAGGTAAAAATGGGTTCTTTTTCATCATTTTCTCTCAGTTCTAACTTCTAACAAGAAAAATAAGGAGCTGTGCGTATAAAAGGTAGTTTCCTGTTAAATTTACAGAAAAACTGATGCTTCCGTTTATTTAAAATAATATTTTCAAAATCTATGTTACTCGGACTCTTCATTTTTCTTTAAGTGACTGTATGATGCGTTCTGAACATGTGCATAGGATATGACCCTCCAAAGACCCTTTAAGTACATTGAACATATGAACATATGAACATACCCTTGTTGATGACATTAATAGCCGATACTCACACCCAGGTCCAAGTAACAAAGTTCAAAAGAGTCAATTCATGCCAGTTGCCTCACTTCAGTAATATAACGGCTACCATTACAGGCCAAACCCACACTTCTGAAGCCTCCAATTTATTGAAGTTCATTGAAGTAATCCAACAATTTCTTATATTGATAATTTTCAGAGAAACTTACTAAATTTCATAACCAAATATTTGTCACCAAAAATTAACCCAGAAAGAAAAACCAACCATTTCAGGGAATCTTAAAAAAGTTTCCATCTTTCTATAGTTTTATATAGAATAGGATCATTTGAATCGATATGATTACATGATTCTTCATGCAACATTGAATTAAAATTGAATAAACGATGCCATGCAATCTGCAAAAGAAGCTTAGAGTATATGTCAAGAACAAAATTTCGATGTAATTTCGGGTTCTAATATCTACAGCATACCAAATTATTTCTCTTGGCTGCCATTTCTTCTCTTTGATAAAGAGCCAATGACAGCTCTTGTGAGTGGTATCCGTCAGAAGCATCGAGTGAATCTGGATGCTCAAACTGGCTCCATTGTTTTTGCATAGCACGCTTGGCAGCTTCATATGAATCATGGCCTTTAGAATCAGCACGACCTCCATATGTTACTTCCCAGTTTTCATTTCGTTTCGAATCGCAATTATTTTGTGAATGTAACTGAGCACAAGGCTCTAAAGAATTATAAAGGTGACCTCTTGATATAGATCTGCTGTGTGATCTTATGGATGCATCCTCTTTTCGCCTTCTGGCCCACGCAAAGCCACTTGATGTAGAAACTTGTAATGGACCGGAGAAAGGAATATCACCTTGGGATGCATGCTTTATACGAGCCGCTTCTTCGACGGCATCAGTAGATGGATTTGTCACTTCCTCACTGATAGTAGCGTTTCTTTGCTTAGATTTGTGCACACGATCACCGTTAACTTTATGAGAACCTTGAGCTTGTGCAGAGGCATCCTGCATGTGACAGTTGCACCAAAAATTAGTTTCCCAACTAACCTCAAACACAAATATAGGGGCATGAGAAAAATGAGTGATAACAGACCTCAACTGGAGCCAATTTACTTATGCTATGGGGTTTTCTTATTGGCTTTCTTGTTTCAGGTCCACGAGCTCTTCCACTTATCTTTTTCCTGAGAATTCATTGCCGACGATGTCAAACAGTGTCAAGCGGTATTAAACGATCATGTATTCTCCAAAACATAGGAATATAACGATCATGTACACAAACATGAGTGAAGCTGATATGATACCTTGCAAAATATACCTAATGTTGATAGGGCATGTTGCTGAAGAGGGTAAAAAAAATATTGAGAAAATGACTGGAATGCAACAGTGTTTGATGCAGATGGACTTGACAATATTCAGGGTTCCAGAAAACTATCTAAATGATTGTCTTCATTCAGACATTTTCGAATAAAGTTCTCACCTCCTTGCCTCTTCACGATGTTTTGCATCTATCTCTTTGCTAGGTGGATATACTGGCAAGCTAGACGGATCACAAGCATAGGGCTTTGTTGTGAAATACTAAAAGTTGAAAAATTACGAATCAGAATATTGTACATGATGGAAATTAAGCTAATTCAAAGTATAAGATCTGCACAAACATGAGTATTTTTTTTTATAAGATTTGAAGGCCTCATTGAAAACCTCCTTCTTGATTAATGAAGCTTGTATGGAAGCTTCTTAATCATCGGAAGGAGGAAAAGAGTGCCTTATAATTTCATTATAGAAAATAAAAATTACAACCTTGGAAAAACTATTCCAAAAAACCCTTACAACAATACTGGAACCAGAAAACCAAACTAAAGAAGCCAACAACATAAAAATCAACCTATACCAGCCTTTTCTAAAGCATCAGCTTCCATATTAGCTGTCCTTGCAACCCATCCAACCCCCCCAAAAGTTCTAAGACTATCAACAATATCTCTAACAATGAAACCATATACAACTGGACATGAGTTAACATTATTGATACAGTCTACTGCAACCCTGCAATCACTCTCAAACCATATACAACTGGACATGAGTTAACATTATTGATCCAGTCTACTGCAACCCTGCAATCACTCTCAACGATCAGCCTATCTTTAACCCTCCCTTGAAAAGAGGCAAAGAAAGAAATACCCCTTTGAATAGCTTTAATATATTAAGAACAAAGATGAGACAACTTCATAACAAGTTACTTCATGCGTAAAGTTTATTAACGATTTTAATCGATGTTATTTCACATTAGTTAAGCTTGGCTAGTTCGCACTTTATATTCAACTCGAGCCTCTCCACATATAGGTTGTTACTGTTATGATGAATGCTTAAAATGGTACTAAAGCTCAACTTATTTGTTGCTACGGAGTTTTAGTTATTCTAAGTTTCAAACTTAAATTTGGCTTTTGTGGCAGCCTAAAATTCAAGTTACACGTAAGGTCGATTAATATCGCGTTAGATGCTTAATAATGGTGAATAATAACAAATTAAATTTGCAAATGAGAAACGATCATGTTGACTGGCATAATTACCTCTGAAGAAAGAGCTGAGGAAGCAATGCCACGCTTGTATGGCTCCACTGAAAGCAAAGTTTCTATCAGATTCACAGCAGTAGCTGGTAAATCTTTCAAAGTGTCCCGGAGACTACTATCATAAGGTTGTTGTGGCTTGAAAATAGTT